AGCATGGTAATTTGCATATGGAACTTGAATCAAAATTACTAAAAATTCTCAGGACACTAATATATTGCCTATGTACCAACATATAATATACACTCTCGTTTAGATCATCAGAAGACTAATTCATAGATACTAAACATGGTAGGATTACATATAGGTAAGATGACAGGAGCGAGTGGTTCCATCATAAGCCTGCATAAAACAGTATAAAATATCAAAGACAACATACACAATGACCTGAAGGATATGTGTGTTCATTCAAAGAAAGGTTTTCCTATGAATTAATTAGAGAAAAGTCCATTTCTACTGTGCATTGTGTCTCTTCCTATGGAAAAGGCAGTGATTCTCTCTACTGGCCATAAAACCAGTGATATCAGCATTAGTTGCCATGGGGACCAGGGGGGGCCTGGTGTCGTTCGCAGACATTCTGGCACCCAGTCTATTGGGTGAGGGGTCTGTGACGACTTGTTAATCTAATGAATAACTGATTTGTTAAATCAAGTGAAAAATTGTGTTTTTGATTGGTCCAGACGCTACACCGGATAATCGAAAATGGGCAGAGAGGCGGGAGCTGGTTGCTGAAACCACGCCCACCTATCTCGACGGTGGTGACAGCAGCGGCAATTCACATGTCACTCAAGTGGCCACGCCCTTAATTATGCATAAATTTAAGGCTTAATATAATTTAAACGGATGAGTTATAAAAAAAAATTCACCCCCCTCACAGTTGTCATGAAGGGCAAAATATAGAAAAAAAAAAACTTTTTGTACCAGGCTGTAAACATTTTTTTTTCTGCTGTAAAGTTGGGCATTTTAACATGAGGAGTCTATGTGGGACTGACTCCCTTTTGGAGCCAGCCTCTAGCGGCCAGTCGATGAATTGCAGTTTTAGTCACTTCCGTGTTGGTTTCACGAGAGAGACCTGAAGGTTGCCGCTTGTCTGAAACGTTTTAGTTGGACGTTCATTTAACTTTTTTTTTTTAATGTTACAACCTGTTTCAGAATGTCTAGAGAACATTCGAAAGCAACATTCTCATTATGTTTGAAAAATTATCAAATGGAATGTTCCCTTAAAGCTTGTATAACTGATGTCTGTTCTCTGCTCTGCTTGCAGCTGTTTACACCAAGCCATTTGTGTTTGCCTTGTTACTATAGCGACCTGTTGTTGTTTGCGGAGGTTAAGAGCTGATAACAGAAGCTAAAGCACCAGTTGCCAGAGTGTTTTTCGGGTTGTTCGTTGTATGAGCAAACCGCAGGTTTTAGAAATAGCATTGTGACTCATGCACAAACCACATGACCACGGGGTACAACGAGAGTAGAGTTTCTAGGATGATTGCCAGTGTAAAAGGTCTGCCTCATGAATCACTGATAAAGAACGTCAGGCCTAAATATTTGTGCGCTGCAGCATTTTTACAATCAGACTACTACTGAAATGGGCTGAGCTTCATCGCAAAGGAGGACAAATGCTTTAAAGAATTTAGGAAGGGATATATCTCTATATGCTCCTCCTTCTTTCTGTCTCTCAGTGAGTAAATCTCAAGAAGAAAACTTCATTTCAACCCCAAAAAACAATTTTTATTTTACATAAATTACCAAACTTTATTTTGCATAAATATACCATTAATACTAAATATTTTTTAAAGAAAGCTAAAAATGTATCTTTTTGCATTATGCATGTCTCTATGCATTCTGTTGTCTTTTATTATCACTTGGGTTCAATTACCATTTTTTGTTATCGTTAATTTTATCTTTTATTATCATTATAAGGAGGGTTTTAATCTTTAATTGTGTGCTATATTAATTATGGTATTTTGGTGCTTATTGTGATTATTTTTATTGTGAAGCACTTGGAGTTGCATACAGAAAATAAACTACGCAAATAAACTCTATTATTATTATTATTATTATTATTATTGTTACGGATTTGGAGATGAAAAGGACATAAAAAATGTAATTTCATGGAAAAACGTGCATTGCAACTGATCTCCTAATTCAAAGGCATGAACATATGTTGGTTGAATTAGTGTTTAGTTAAGAATGGATGTGTAATAATAGCATATGCAGCTTTTGTTCACAAGACGTGTGTGTGTGTGTGTGTGTGTGTGTGTGTGTGTGGTCACAGGCAGCTGTTGTGACATAAGGGAGGGTCATACGGATGGGTTGGGTGGGGTTTAAAGGCACAGTTAAGGAATTCATGGGATCACAGGCTTAATTTTACATATGGCATCTCAATGAACAAATGTCAACCAAAATGTTTGCTGAATTACCTTGTTTAGCCATTCAACCTTCTCCACATCTGGAAAATTGACCTAAAAAAATATAAAGAAAAAATAATTAACAGATTTCTAAGCGCAAAGACTGTAAATGCACATAAGCTTCAAAGTGTCATTACAACAGTCAACAACTTCAATAGAGGATGTGGTTATAAAGAAGAAAAAAACAGCACATACAACCACCTCAGTCTATCATGAACATTCTTCCTTTAATTTCATCATTGCTTTCTTAAATAACAATAACATATACTATTTGCAGTGCAGAATTAGATTTCTCCTGGATACAAAATATACCTATTAAAATGGAATGAACGAATGAATAAATGTTTTGTTTTATTTAAATGCATTTTGATTTATCTATATATTTAACACTTTTTTTTTCAATGAATAACATGCATAGCTTATTTCAACACGTGACAGCCATGAGACATGACCAAATATAGAATAAACTCTTTTATGGAAGCATCTACTGTGCACATGTGGAGGAGATGACAAAGCAACAGTGTAGGCCATGGGAATTTTGCCAAGTATGTAGCACCCAGTATGCAGTATACCACCAATACAGCGCCACCATCAGCTCGAATAATGTCCTCTAAATCTGCAGACCACTCCTACTATTTAGCAGCACGAATCGATTCGTTAGAACGGTTTGTTTCAATGAAGTGGTTAAAAAAAAAAGATTCACCGCGACCGATTCTTTTGAGTCACTACTCAAAAGAGAAGTCACGCAAAGCACTTGGTTTCATTTTTTAACAGCAAAAGAGGTTGTTCTGTTAAATACGACCGTTTTTCACTATGTTCTCGAGTAGGTTGCGTCAAATGGTAGAGTTGTTTATGTCATTCTCCTCAGTTTTACTTCTACGCTTATCCTTTGCAGCAAAGTGATTTCAAACGTCGTACGAATCTGAATAATTCAAATGAACCGATTCAAAAGAACGAATCGTTCGCGATTCGGACATCGCCACTCTTTTCAGTTGTTTGTAGCTATGCACATCTTTTACATTAACACGTTGTGTGTTTCACTTGTAGCGTGAATACATGTAGATTTATTCAGATGGTGTACATTAATAACAATGGAGTATTTTATTCAAGAATAACAAAAGACACACTTTTGTGCATTCTTACCCAAGAAGGCAGGTCTCTTCTACTTCTAAATGATTTGGAGGATATGTATTCTTGTTCGTCGTTGACTAACTCTATAGCGGACTTCAGTCTCGCCTCCTTCGCCTCACGAGAGTGTTTCCATCCTGCGTAAACCATCATCCCAAACACCACTAAACTAGTGCTCATCCGATAGTAACCAGCCAGGTAAACGGGCAACAAGGTAGTGAGACATTTGCCAAAAGTCCATAAGATTGCCTTGGCATCAAATAGTTTAGTTTTAGGGACGTCCATTTCTCCTGATGAAGTGTCCTGGGCTGGTTCACACTTCTTTTCCGAGTCCGAGTCATTTTTCGGCCCTGAATCAACGTGCGACATTGTGGTCTGTTGGTTTGTACGCAAATTTGTCCGAAGTCGAGATACGATTACAAAGCGATCGCGCGCAGCGATTTGCAACTCAAATTCAACATCTGCTGTGACTTAAAGTCGAGAGTTTTATTCGCGCATAGACTAACGTTACAGGGAACGACTGCAGATGAAGATGTGCCCGATCACTGCGGATCAATAAGTCAACGACCCCCTCGCCGCTTTTACCCTTCTGGCATGACGCTGTTTTTTCCTTCTTGCAGTATCTCTGTCTGAAAACCCTGAAGTGTGGCCCGCACCGTTATTTAGGCAGATCCACGCCCACAGAAAAACGACGCAGTTGTGTAAAAAGGGGCGAAAACTTTGTTGGAAGCTGCAGTAGGCAATTTCTTCCTTTAAAGCTTCTAGCTTTACATCTCATGAGTCAGTTCTGACTAGACAAACTCTGATTTAAAGTACGTGTAAAGCAGTTCTGACTAGTTCTAGTGACCAAATACAGAATAATGGAATGATAATAGCTAGTTTTATTCATGTTTGACTAGTCAAATCTAATGCAAGGAATCTGGAATGTTTCATTATGTATTCATTTGCATATAAGATATCTAATGAAATAATGATTGAAGTTATCTTTTACGGTTTATGTATCTGATTACATTTTGACTAGTTAGAATCATTTGCTTAAAAACAAATCCTGAAGAAATGCTAATTAATCATCCATCATAATAGTAAAACCTTTCCTAATGAATCAAACAAGTCAGTTGGGACTAGCCAAAACTAAAAATAAGATATCTTGAATGCATATTTGTCTAGTGATAGTTTACGTTTAAGATAACTATAATGCAATTTTGACTAGTCATAATTACAGGTGAACATAATCTAATGCAGGCTAGTTTAAATAAAAAAGAAAAAAATTACTTTCAATTTATCTAATGGGATCTTTTTGATTCTTTGTTCATCCAATTACAATTAGCTCCAAATTATGAAATAAATTCCACTTTTTGACAATAAATGGTATGCAACATATCCTAAATGCATTAGCTGTAGTCATGATCGCAAACCATTTTCTGATAGCTTAAACTATATTACAGATTTATTAAATTGTTATTACTCTTTGAAATGAAATTGTACTAGTCAAAACTGGTTAGTAATGATTTTAAAGGGGTCATATGATGCGATTTCTATTTTTCCTTTCTCTTTGGAGTGTTACAAGCTCTTGGTGCATAAAGAAGATCTGTAAAGTTGCAAAGACTAAAGTCTCAAATCCAAAGACATATTCTTTATAAAAGTTAAGAGTCAGCCACGCCTACCTAAAACGGCTCGTTCTAACACGCCCCCACATATCTACCTCACTATGTGGGAAGATTTGCATAACGCCGCCCAAATGTCACGCAAAGAAAGAAGGTGTAACTTTTATTCTCGCTGTAGTATTGTTGCCGCCACCGCCATGTCGTGAAGGCGCTGTGTGTTTCGTTGTGAAAGCAAAACTACTTTGTTTGGCCTTCCAAAAGAGGACGATATCTGCTTCGTCATGCCTAGAGCTGATCCGTGCTGGTTGCTGAGGAAATACTACAACTTCGCTGTGGATCGCCGGATCGGTTTTCACCGTAGACGAAGCGGAGTCCAGCCCGGGGTCGTCACATGTGGTTGCCTTGCCGCAAGCCCTCCGGACGCTCCTTCGTCGAATCCGCCGCCTCTGCTCACTCTAGCCCTCCGGCCGTTCCTCACTTATGTCCCCACTGGATGCAACGAATGCCTCGTTTATAATGGGTTTTCATGTTTTTGAATCATCGCTCCGGCCTGACAGGGCATCATCACAATGTGGTAAGGGGCGTAACATTTCCATCACCCGCTTGAGGTATTCGGCCAATCACAACGCACTGGATAGCTGGCCAATCAGAGCACACCTCGCTTTTTCAGAACGATGAGCTTTGTAAAAATCGACGCGTTTCAGAAAGGCGGGGCATAGAGGAGAAACAATAATGTACAGTATGTGGAAAATAATGTTTTTTGAACCTTAAACCGCATAAACACATTTCATTACACAAAATAATGTTATTTTTAGCAACATCATATGATCCCTTTAAAGACAGTAAAAGAAGCCTGAAAATATAGACGCTCTGATACCAGCCGTCGAAATCTGTATTCATTCACATTAGATTTCATATATGGCTTCCAATATAGACACTATCCAGTTTGTCTGTTCCAGAGCATCCAGATGTGCTTGTGTCCTGCAGGCCTAATGCTGGTGGATTATCAGATTCAAGAAAGAAAGGAGCTTGAGAACTGGTCAAATTAAATGCACTTTTCATGCTGGTACTTTTTGCATGATAACCCTAATAGTTAATCACTCTACCTTTAATCAGAAAGACCCCAAAGTTTCCCAAACCTTATATATTAGCTTAAAAACATCACAAGCAAATACTAAAAGATGACAGTTCACTTATGAGAACGGATTATGAGCAATAAAGTGATTTCCAGAGGTTTCCAGATACAAAACATTATAAAATGCTGTGAATTTCCTATCTTAACTTTGACATAAAACTGTCTACTCTGTTTTAATTGAGCATGAGGAAAATATTTTTAAACACGTGAAACGGTGATTTCTACTATAATATTTACAAATCTAGTTACTCCCATATCTGTCTGTGGTGATCTGATCATAAGTGAACAGGCCTGAGAGTGCAAACAACGGATGTTATGCTCAACAGAACATGAGAAAGTGATCAAACTCATAAAAGAAGTTTGGTTTGATAAGAAATATAATTTTTCATCAACAAGATACTCACTAAAGATGAACGAAACATGCCCCATATTTAGACAGAAAAATGCAGTTATTTAGTTTCCAAAATGCCCACATTTTGTTGTGTGAAAAACAATACAAGAATTAATAATGGTGCTTAATGGGTCAGATTCATTACTTTTGTGCAAAAGACCAATAATCAGTTCACACGAAAGCAATTCACAAAACAAACTAATAAAAAAGGAGTCAAACTAAAACTGACAGCTAACAAGTCAATTCACAATCCTGTAGTGATTAGCTGAATAGTTACATCTTTCAAAATGAGTTAATAAATGTCCACAATCTCAAAGGAATCTTTCTTTCGGCTCTCTTAAAGGCAATCATCCGCTAAAGCGTGGCAAAAAAACTGAAATATGTTTCATATATTCAAAAGAGAAGATCTGTATTTTGTCTATACAGAAATCTGTAAGTTCTTTCAGTCAAAACAGACCCTTCACCTGAGAAACTTACCGTGTTATTGGTAAGTTAAACAAAAGGGTGTTAGGAGAATTGCTGAAAACATCTGTTCATACTAATGAGGCAAGGTTGTGATCCTCATACTCTGACTGGCGATGGGATACGACACCATCGGTGTGGTCGCATGGCTCATCGTGATGCCCGGCAGCGGTTGTGCCATCGACACAGCGACCGGTGCTACCGAAACCGCAACAGGGGCCATAGAAACAGGTGGAGCCATTCCCTGGGCGATAGTCTGAGCGAGGGCGGCAGAGATGGAGTCGGGGTTCAGATGCGGAGGGGGTGCGGTAGGGGGCGCTGCATTGGCTGGAGGGGCGGGCGGTGCTCCAGCCGGGGCCACCAGATCCTGCTGTGTGACGGGACGGGGCTGCAGACCAGCGCTGCTCAGAGTAGTGTGTGTCTGAGCGATGCCATGGTTGTAGGAGCTGACAGAACCAACAGGGGGCACCAGACTCTGCTCAGACGGAGCGGGGGTGGAGGACAGCGTCATCACTTTAGCCTGGCTTCGGAACTGAGCGTTCTGCTCCAGGAGGACCTCGTTGGTGGCTATGAGATTGGACACCTGGAGAAAAAGAGGAAGATGTGAGTTTTGAGAATTTAACTTGAAACTTCACACTAAAGACATGTGGGATGCTACACCTAAAAAATGAATGATTCTGTCACTGATCTTAAGTTAAAGTACAATTTGGAGATGATTTGCATGTTTTGTTTGCAGGATTTATAATGCAAAGGATGGGTCTCAATTGCATAAGAGGTCAGCAAAGACATTCAAAATCTGTATTATTTTCTGTCATCTGTGGACATTTAAAAGATGATCTATTGCAGAATGTCCAGAGTTTAAAAAGTAAAGTTAAAGATGGGACTGTCAATCTCCAAAAATGACAAAAACGTAGGGATGCGGTATTATACATCATGCATCTGTACCTGCTATCACTCATCAAAAAAGATTAAAGCTAAATCCTTAGCTAACGTAAATGTAATCTTTTGTAATCAAAACTGAGTATTAATTTTTTACACTGAAAATTATAATGTGATGATGAACCCTTAATTCACCCGTAACATTTAAAACTACTTATATTTGTTTTATTTTTAGGTTATTTAGGCAAAATAATACAGAATTTTAATATTGGTGCCTCCCCACAAAAACACTGTTTTTATTGTGAACTAAAACTAAAACAAACTATTAAAATGAATTTATTTAGAAATTTTGAAATGAACTAAATAAAAATAAATGATAGCTGAAGTACCAAAATGACTAAAACAAACTAAAATGAAAACTGAAAATGTAAAATTAAAAGCTCTTTCAAAATATAAATACTATAATAATATATAAATAACACTAAAATAATATTGCAAAAAAGCACAATAAAAATGAAGAGTTCTTTTGCTAAAAATCTCCTCTGCTATAAAAAATCAGGCACAACGCATCTTAAAGCACCATATTTGACCAGAATGAGATTGGAAAGGTAAGGCAGTTTTTTAAGCGCCTTTTTTAGGACTATATCATTTTTGCAGGCCCAAACTCAACAGAGACAGAGATGTATCTTCCTTTGTATTCCACTGAAGAAAGGAAGGTTTGCAACAACATGAGAGTGAATGAATGAGTACATTTAACATCTGTTCACCTGTTTCTTAAGCTCCTCCACTCTTTTCCTCAGCAGGGCGTTCTCCTCTTCCAGTAAGCGGTACTCTAACGGTCGAGTCAACAGGGTGGTTTGAACCCCCAGGTCATAATGTCCACCACCGGTTCCATCAGTCAACCGCAGCCCCTCCAAACGCCGTCTCTTCAGCTGCAGGGTCGTGTGGTCAACAGGCGCCTCCACCGGCCCCACTTCAAACATACCATTCTCAAACAGAGGGTCATAGACAGAGCAAGGGCCCCTGTCATAGCGCCGATGACCCACCGTTCCCATCGACATGCAGCCACTCAATGAGCCCCCACCTCCACCAGACATGACCTGCTCTCTGCAGCCGCCTATGTTGGGACATCCCATTCCCATGTAGTTACCAACACCGCCGCCAACGAGGCCAGACATCCCGCCGCAGGCAACGCCAACACCTCCTGCTCCACCGCTGCCGGCAT